CCTGGGTGACGGAGACACGGAAAAAGAAGGGGTTGTTCAGGAGCTTTTAGGAGAGGGGGAAGGAAGAGAGGTCGTTCTCGAAAGATTTGTGGCTGACGTTGAAAGCAGCGTCTAGGCAAAAGTTTACTCCCTCCGATGGGTACATATCCTGAATGTAGGTCCCCAAGAGAGGCGCACCTGCGTTGGTCCGGTCCTCCAATGGCTGTCTCTGAAAGGAGACAATGAACCTGGCGTGGACTATCAAGCTACCCGAGCCTATCAAGCTCCGCTCTCCCAGGTAGTAAAAGCCGTCTGAATCTTAGGGTAGGGCTCCCAGAAACCATTTTTTTAGGGTTTTGTACATTTTGAGCTTTGTAACTGTAACCAGGGCCACGGGAGGCCGAGAATAACAAATCACGGAAGGCGAGATTTTGCGTGGACGCTGCCTCGAGCTCAACCCTGCTTGTCACAAATGCTGAAATAAATGGACAACTGCGTTCATTGTTTCTGTCTCACACAAAAGCGACAATCGGAAGGACTAGTGTCAGTATGGTGGGAATGGAGTCCCTATCAAGTGAAATTGAGAGATCGCTACTAATTCTTTGTCAAGTTCACGCTTTTGTCAAAGATTTTGTAGCATACCTTCAACAGTCTAGAGTCAGTACCTGGAAGGTGATGGCGTTTTGTTGTTTGCTTCAGTGAAAAGTGGAGGTTGTTCGAGACGGAGAGAAAAAAATAAGTTGGGTTATAGGGTAGAAACACTGCAGTAAGCTCGAGCCTCTTGTGGTGCTATTTCGCGGGTATCGCTCACCGCCAGTTTACAACTCAAAGAAAGTGGGGAAAAATCCATTTCTTTTTTGCGGCTGAGACTAGATATGGTGATTGCTTAGTAGGAAAATGAGATTAGTTATCAAAAAGGGGGATTTCGCTCTGCTCAGAACTTCTGTCAAAAATCACACAAACATGGAAAAGGTTGCGAATTCGCTGCAAAAATGCACTACGGAAAAGCGCGCTTTTTTGCAGTTTAACTTGAGTATTCCGCCACAAATGGAAAAGTGATGGCTAGCCCTCTACATTACAGGCAAAAGTAAAATATATTAAGTACACGAACGAAAGGCGTCTAAAGGATTAGAGGCAAAACTGAAGAATTTTGAAAGTAGTGTTGTTGCCGATTCCTTATTCAAATTCGGAAAACAGAATACGAGGTATTCGACTCTAGAAATTCTAAACAAAACCGCTAAACATTTTATAGCATTCTAAACCTATAAGGCCCGTATGCAGTGCATCCCCGCTGGGGAGGGGAGAGGATCTGAAAAAGGATGCGTAATATCTCGCTACTCTACCGTACTTTCTTCTTCTTTCTCTATCTTGCTTATGAAGGTCTCACACACTTATACTTTCGTACAATGGATGCCAGGTTACTTCCATACAAGATTGGTTTTTTGCCATTTTCCCAGGGGATCACCTCTCATTCTCAAAGTCATTTATCTTCCTGAGAAGTCAGAAAACGCTGCAAAATTGTACTGAGGATATAGAACGGCACTGTTAACCATGTTTTAGACAGGAGAAATGGAATCTGAAGATTGTGAATTTGATAATCCCCAGCTCGCAAACAGTGGTTCATTGAAGATTTCATACCCCAAGGTTTTACTTATTTCTACTATAAACATTTATTGCAGTGCCGTAGGTACAATTCTGCACCATTTTCATTGACTTTTCACGAATATAAATGACTTTGAAAGTGAGAGGTGATCCCCTGGGGATCATACCACATGGTAAATAATCAATCCTGTAAGGCAGTAACTTGGCATCCATTATGCGCAGGTATTAGGGTATGAGATCCTTCATAAGCAAGATAGAGAGAGAAGAAGAAAGATACGTAGAGTAGCAAGATATGACGCATCCCCTCTCAGATCCCCTTCTGGAACTCATGCGTAATCTACGAATCGGTTGTATGATAATCGTTGTTGCCCTTTTTAGGGAAATGCTCACAAGGATTCACTACATGAAAGGCTATAGATGGTTTTTGGTATTGCTACAATATACATTTGCTAAAAGGAAGGATACTCATTGCGAGCCTTTTGGTACGTGAAGTATTTCATGATGCTCGCTACAAAGTGCTGTTCGCAAGACTGTGTTCGTTAGCTGCGCAAGTACTCTTTAGAAGATCTTAAGAGCCTTCTCATCACAGTTGAAAGAGTGCAAGTTTCCATATGTGCTAAAGCTAGTGAATGGTATAGTGACAAGTATGGTGGATTATTCAAAGAGGATGCAAATTTGATTTCTGTCACTGCGGCATATTTATGCTTTTCTGACGGCCGTTTTCTTTTCAGAGAATCATTCAACAGATAACGAACACAGTTTGGAGGTCAGCGTTTGTAGTAAAGCTTAGATTTGTTTTGAATAAGTGATCTAAAGTGAGGTATGGCATTTTGTCTGCATGGCTGAAAAGTTACTTGAGTGGATACGGCAAAACAGATTGCCTTTACTTACAGGCTCTGTCATAGGAAAGTGAATGATTGTCGAAGCGTCAGCCCGTCAATTGAATAAAACAAATGACAAACTCGTGTTTGGCTCAGTCAATATTACGAAGCTATCATGTAGACGGTGTAAACCATCATCAAATCATAAAATAATAGGAGTGCAGGAGTGGTTTCTTTTTTCAAAGGGATGGAATGTTCGCTGGCGAATAAGCAATAGCAGTAGTAAACATAGCACATTTTGCTGAGACTGTATAAGATAAGGGAATGCTGATATTGCGTTACAGCTGGAAGGCCTAAGGAAAAGCTAAGGCAGCGAAAATCAACTATCCATTGAGGTTATGATGAGAGTGCAAGGCATTTGCGTGCAAATAAGCATGCTGAGATATGACACTTGACAGGAAAGGAAATGCATTACAACACTTGAATTTTTTTAACTTATCTCTACTGATCTGATTGAATTTATGTTCAAGGGTTCTAACTGCTTGTAGCTGCATGAATATCAGTGCATTACAGCAATAAAATGGGCTTATTTTTTAGCGTAAATTTTGAATCACTAGAGGAGTTAGGAAAGCGGAGGAAGAGCCAAGTTTGCTTTACGACTCTAGAGATGAATGGGACTATGCTTAACACTAGTCTATCGCCTTTGCTATCAAAAGTTCACCAAAATAGGGCAAGGCGTGAGTTTCGCAATCTCTAAATGCAATGAATGTGACCATAAAATCTCGGAAATGGTGCAATAGTAATGTGCAGCTGATAAGTCACGCGCTGCGCGGTTATTTCGAGCCAAGGCGGTGGCCGCATGCCGGTATCGTTGCCGTTGAGGTGCCACTGACACTAAGCAAACAGTTGGTATGAAAGGAATAGCTGTATTAGCGCTAAGTAAACATTTGGCTATGTGCGTAACACACCGTAATGCACTTTTCACTGCTTTGCAATAAGCCAATACGAAGCAATGAAGAAAATAAAGCAGTGGTGAGGTCAGCTGTAGTTTTTAGTAAATGGTAATTCGGCTATCCACAAAGACAGATTTATTGTTAGGAGTTTTTTTTTTTTGAAGCTCTTAGTCTAACCAATACTCCTTCTTTGAAAGAGGCTGAGTGTTTTACTGTGAAAAGTGAAAATGGTCTATCCACATGTAAACAGTTGCTTAACCAAAAATGGTTAGCAAAATATTTGGAAGCTAATTACATAAGTTATAAGTATATGCAAAGTTGTACTGATTGAAATAACTTTTTTGAAAAGTTACAGCGTTGAAAAAGTTTTTCGGGAAGTGTGGGAAGCATCCGAGAAAAATTTCGGAGCGCCTGGCCGAGGTATCTAGGAAAAAAAATTTGTCCCCCTTCCCCTACCCAACAGAATCCTAAGACCGCCACTGCTGTCCACTATACTTTGGTATCTGTCCACCATACTTTACTATCGAATAGAATTTTTGAGTCGAGCGAAATTCGAAAATTTGAATAATTAAAGAAAAACAGGGTTTCGAATAAAATTCGGAAACTCGATTAATTCAAAAATGGATTTCGCATGAACGAAAAGTCGAGTAATCAAAAAAAAGGTTTTGATTGAAATTCGAAAACTCAAGTTACTAAAAATCGAAATCTCAAATAAAAATTATTCGGATGTTTTATTCGAATTCGTATCCATATCAAATACGCGTCCAAATTATTCGAGCTCGATGCAAAGCCTCGAGACGGGATGTTAGCAAATTTGAGATATATTTGTCCTAAATATCCGAACAAAAGGATGCGAATATATACATATCCGAGATTTTTCGAATGTCTAGCATTCGAATAAACCACTCGAATATTTGCTCGTCGACCCTTAATGTTCGAATTATTCTGGTACACGCCAGAACTTCCCGCTTCTCTCTCTCTCCTCTCTGTCTCTCTCATCTCTCTCTCTCTCTTCGTGCCACGCCTTTTGGGCGTGACCTTTCCTGGCGACTTCGTTTTATTACCGTCGAGACGAACGATGAATAAATATTCCAATGAACCACTTTGAATACAGCAGTAAAAGAGGGCCACCCTTCCCCTCGTACAAATCGAAGGCGCCACCCTTCTGCCTAGAAGTCGCCACACAAATCTACTCGATATTCGTTTATTCGAAACTGTTGATTTTCGAATTTTATTCGGAATTCATTGATTTGAAATTTTCAAATTTCGAATTTAGTCGATATTTGTTTGTTCGATATGTTTAGTTTTCTGATATCAATCAAATGTCGTTTGATCGAGATTCTTAGTTCTCGGGTTTGTTCGATAATAATATTTTCGTAATCAGCATGCTCACTTTCATTGGTCTGATTGACCGAAACGATGCGAAGACTGCAATGCCTGCCTCTTGTGCTCCTTTAGTGCTCTGCCAATGAATTGTGGGAAAATTTCGAGGACTTTTTGATTTTGTAGGAAAATGAAAGTTTTGGTTAGAAAAAGAGAGAAAAGTGCTATTTTCCAATTTAGTCGATTACAGATTTTTATAGTGGTGATACTCGTATATAATCATTGTTTGACCATGCACAACGCATATGCAAAATGAGCAATGTCACAAGTAATCCGCTTTACACTGTTGAATCTTCGGCTTGATACTGAGCTTTATCGTTGCAGTGACCATCCGTCGGAGCTCTGGGTTGCAAAGCTAAACAAATTTTGTTTTCGATTAGTCGATAGATTATGCACTGAAAAAGACATAGCCGCAAATTACCATATAAATTGGGAGACGCATAGCACAAGCCGTAACGACTAGTAGTGAGACTAAGTCCGTAGAAAACATATAAAAGGCGAAATATCTGGAAATTGTTGCTTATTTTGTGTAAAAAAAGAAATCCGGGACATACTCATTCTGTAATGTTTGCATATCAATGAACTCCCAAGCAGTCACGATAACGTTAGGTAGGTTGGAGAGAAGATATAGTAGGCAGACAAGCAAAAGTGTCCATGTCGCCGATCGCACCTTGCTCTGAAAAATGAAATTTTGTATAAGTGGAGGTTTGTAGTTGGTATATCGGGGGATGAATGCTACTTGGAAATGCTAAGAGTGCCTTGAGTGCTGGGTTGACATGGTATCATTGGAAAAGCAAAATGATTTCAAGCGGATACGAAGTACGAGAGTCGTTCAAATTTTTTGAATATCTTCTCTCTCATGACCTCAGTACTGGTAAAAACAATGTGTTCGCATGCTGAGTAAGTAGTGTTTTACAAACCCAGGCATGCAAGACTAAATCTATCGCAGCTAATAAGTCTGTTTGCATACATTCCAGTGCTTATAATAAGTTGAAAATCATTTTGGGGTAATCAGTAAAGGGGATGTTGGTGAGTTTGGGGCAGGGCCCTGGAAAGGTGCGTGTATGCCAGTATCATACGAAATATTGAAAATTTAAGGTATAATATTACGAAAAATATGTGAATGAAGAGCTTAACAGAGTTTTTCTCTCTCAGAAATGATTTTACAACTGATAGATGAAGAAACGACTTGCTGCAATGCAACGTAAGACGTGATACTTCTGAGGTTATTCGTGCTGTGGGGAGTGGAAATAATGTATGGAAAATCAGGGAATCCTATGTGAAGTAGATGCTTGAAATTTTGCAATTTAGGTGGCCTCGCGCCAATGGTGAGATGACTTGAACTGGCCCAGAGAAAATGAAGTTACAGTTAGATTTTGTCATGAGCTCTAGTTTATAATGATAAGCAAACTCCACATAATGAGCGATAAGTGTTCTTCAGATCCGCTCATATGTAAGCCGCTGCGAAGATATACAAAGTTTTATTTGTCACATCACTTCTGGTTGCTGCACTTGGCTTCCCCCATGCTTCCAATTTTCTAACATACCTCTATCATCGGTTTGGATAGTGGTAGTAAGCTACCACCATGTTACGACAGGGATTGCAAGTAGTGAATTTGTTATTGTATTCATTAGCGTAGATCTGAGCAGTGGAAAATAACCGTACATTGAGGATGGAATAAAATGGGTGATTTTGAATACTGTAGCATTGTTAGGTGGTAGCTTAGTACAGTTCCGCTACTGTTAGTGGAGATAAACCTGTATCTGCTGTGATCCATGACAAATATACCTGAACCGAAAGCTCAGTATCAGACGACTTTGTGTACCCCTATCTGTCCTCATTGAAGGCGTCCCGACAAAATCTTGGTACCGGGATCCAACAGCATTGCGGTGGCAGACCCCCCCCCTCCACCCCAATCAATCTATCAATAAAAGCTGGAGGAAAAAGCCCTTCGGAAAGCCTTAAGTCCTCTCAGGAAGTCGGATCCCGCCCCTCGTTCCAGACCCCGCCCCTCGTTCCAGACCCCGCCCACTTACACGTATTTTGCAGCGAATGCAGTGACATAGGAAACTTCAAGCTCATTTTGGCTATCCTCATGTGCGGCGAAGCCCAGATACGGCTTTAGAATGGCGAGAAGGCTTCGAAAAGGGGAAAAGCTGAAGAGCGAGATTTTGCTAGGACATTGCTAATGGGCTGTGTTTGCAATGTGAAATGAAGTGTCTTCGTGAAGAAAAAAACAAGCAAAAAAGTCACCGTCCACCTCGTGACTCTTGTGCAAACAGTTAGAACTGCAAGACACAGGTTACTAAAATCAAGGAAGGTGTTGCTACTAGCTTTTGGCTATCCCTGAACATATACAGGGTGTTCCTAAAGTATGTATACACTGTTTGATCGTTGATATCTCTTTTCCCAAGAAGTCTCTTGCCTACCTTTAAGCACCATATTGTAGAGCTGGCTTCAATTTAGATTTACAGTATGGAGCGAATCACGGATCGCTCTTCGCTACTGTAAGATTACGGTAGGAACTCTCAGCTTATAGCGACATTACGGATTTACCTTGTTTCAAAAACGTTTCCAAAAATCTAAAAAGTGGTGAACTAGGGTTTTCAAACTTGCCGTTTTATTACTCAACTTCTTACGAATTAGCAGAGCTTTTGAGATGGTGTAATCTCAATTTAATGGAGTCCTGTAAAAACAGCTATTGCGGTCTACTTGGAATAACTTATGAAGGAAGCATTGCGGCAAAGTGCAAAAATCATATTTGGTTTCAGCGGCTTCAGTTGGCCTACCATGAAAGTACTCTGGTTGTTTCGCTTGCTTCCTGAGGCGAAATAGCGTTTTTGATGGCTCACAACCCTTCTTGAAATTTCTACCGTAATCCTACAGTAATGAAGAGCGACCGGTGATTCGCTCCATACTGTAAATCTAAGTTGAAGTCAGCTCTACAAAATGGTGCTTAGAGGTATTCAAGAGACTTTTTGCGAAAAGAGATATTAACAATCAAACAGTGTATACATACTTTACGGACACCCTGTATATCATCTAGCAAGTCCATCTATCCACGTCTGATTCTGGGGCCAGACTGAAAGGGTTTCGTTTTGTTTCATACTCTTTTTATGCAAGGTAGGTGCCAATTCCATTCGTCTACTTCCATTGTTTCCTTTACACATGCAGATCAAAGTCCCCAACGATCTAAAGGCTGGACTCGGCATGAGGTGGCTTTTCATTTTTTTTTAAAAACGAAGTCGCCATAAACGTTGCCACAAAAATACGACATCACCTATGACGCGGTCATGAATGGATCAGACCGAATAACAAAAAATAATGAAAAAAAACATGAAAACAATTTTGGGCAGACGAAGAACTAAAGAAGTTTGTATTCTCCGAATTAGCGGCATGCTGAGTCCTCGCGCATCACTGCGCGCTTGGAGCAGGCTCGCGCCGTCATACAAAATATTTGGAGAGCCGTTACTAGCCGAGGAGAAAGGTATCTGAAGAGATTCAAAAACTCTGTTGTAGGGTTTTTGGCTTAGAACGAAGATATATCAAACATGTGAAAAAATTATGTAATGACTTTTTCTTTTCACAGCCACCTCAGATGGCTGTTCAGGTGGCTTGAGAGCCAATCCGAAAAAAGTTTGCCACGCCTTCAGTTCACATATTTTTCTAATTTTTCGTACATAGTCGTAACTCCCTAATGCCCATCTACAACCAGTTTTTGGTGTCATTTCATTGTCGCTGTAAGCAAGGCTTTTCTTTGTGTCAGGGCAGGTTTTTGAATTCGCGCGCTTAACCGGCGAAACTGTTGAAACAGGAACTACATATATGGTTTTAGCAGGAAAGGGGTCGATAAGGCAGCAGTGACAATCCGTGTCCTCTATAAAGATGAAGGGTGACAGAGAGAGTGATTGTGGGAGGGGGGGGTGGGGGAACTGGGGTCTCCGTAAGCGATATCCTCCTTGTTTTTTACCCCGAAACGATATGCAGCTTTTCCGGTAAGCCACCCATGCCGAGCCCTGCTCAATGGGCATTGAGGATTTGATCTGCATTAGTAGTCGGAACAATGGAAGTAATTAAAGATAAGCTTTCTTGTTTTGATCCTTCGGCAAACGGATTATGGATGAAAGGCTGCAGCAGTTCTCTTAATCTGGTATGGATGTTGGAAGACAACTATCATTATCTTATCACACACGTATATGACTGAACTGGTAAATTCTTACTCAGTGGGTCCCTCATAGATACTGTTATGTGTGGACCGATCGGCGCGAAATTTCGCTCACATGCGTTTTTGACATCGGTGCACCCCCTAGGTTACTTTTCGAGGCGAAAGTCCCTCTCATTTTGTTGATTTATCGATTTTGAAAGGAAATGAACTTTTATCATGGACTACGAAACCACTTCGGCCTACCAAGTAGACAACAGCGGTAGGCCTTATTTTCATTCCTCAATGAGGAAGAAGCGGTAGTTAAAAGCGATGGCTCAGGAGATATCTGTGCTGTATTACGCGAGAAACAGCAGAGAGCCGAAACGCACTAAGTGGAGCCCTTAGATTTGCACATCAGTCTTGCTATTCGTTGAGCTAGTTAAACGGGCATGCGAGCTTGTGACTTATAGGGCTTATCAATCGCAGTGTCCGGTGCACCAGCATCTCCACTCCCGCGCGCGACTTTGCAGCTCTTCTGCAAACATGCTCTTTAGTCATATCTTGAGGCTTCGCCTTCCCCACGCTTGCAGTGGAAAAGTGATCAGAGAGCATGTTAGCGAAAGAGGTGCAGAGTCCAGGCGAAGCGGCGGCGCGGGAGCGGAGATGTGTTGCTCCCGACACTGCACTTGATAAGTCCTGTGTGTAATCCGCTAATCCGTCAGTCTTTAGAGTTGATCATGACGAAAACACAATGAGAAATGGTTTACAAAGATGGAAACATGTGATCTTCTGAGAGCGAGCAAGGTTCTCTTATAGTTAAAATTCATTCGGTTCAGTCAGCTCCTTTGGAGAACGATTTGGGGAGACAATCGAACGTCACTCCACTCTGATCCGTAATGGCCAGTGCAAGCTTCTGCATAATAGATATGCGCCACTGGTGTTTATTTAATTCTACAGCCACAAAAAATGCATGATTTTATTTATAGGTCGGCTTATGTCAATGCTCTTCTATCTTTTCTGTCCTCCCTCTTCCTTCTTCACCTCATTCGAAGTGAAACAAAAATCACAACACAAACCAAAAGAGTGACCAATATATTTGAGTGGATTTACAGCACAAAGTGTCACATCACTGTCACTCGGTGGTTCACTAGTCACGCCATGGTTGGTGCGTGCATGGCTGATACATTCACTCGAATGATAACTTACAATAATTCGTACTTGGGCAATTATACCCGAATAGGTTGCGTTCAATACGGATTCCAGTCGCAGCGGGATATAAACAAGTGGAGCAAAATTATGCAGTTCTTTACCTTCCTAGAAAAGGAAAGAAATGAAAATAATTTTCTAGAGTTTGTCATTTTGTAGTCTGTTATAGTTGCAAATCAGGTTTCGCTCAAATTATTTTCAACTCAAAAGGTATAAAGAGATTATATTAACCTCTTCAATGTTTACGGATTCCTGAGGATCGGACTCGATCGTCGAGTTTGCAGAGAAACTGCTCTGAAATACGATGTCTTTGCTCCTGTCTTCAAAAATAGGGGCGATGGCAGACCTCACTGTTAATCATGTAGATTTTAACCCACTGACGACGATGTGGACCACCGGTGGCCCACGCATTCTTTTGCTGCCAGGGACGATGTGGACCACCGGTGGCCCACATCCCTTGCAAAATCATATGCTTTCCAGGTCTAGTATTTTTCCACCGTTTAGTATTTCTTTTTTGCACTGTTGAAATCTGTGAACTTGTTGTCCAAAAAGATGATTATAGTGTTTACAAAACAACTTTACATCTCGTAAATAACCATAAAACCTCAGGCCGGAAGTGTTGTGCAAAATCGCGTCGTCCCATAGCGCCGCCACGCAAAATTAGGCGTCATCGTCAATGGGTTAACTTACTGCCATTCATAACTATACGAACACCCCATATTTTCAGAGCTTTGGAAATTGTTGAAAAAAAAACTCAGAGAGCCGTTGAACTACGTGGAACTATAGCTGGAAACGGTATACGCGGCGCAAGAATGAAAATCGCTGTCAATTTAAAATGTTTTTGCGCCGAATGCGAATTTTTGGCGGGTTATAAATTTTAGCTCCCCAGAACGAGCCTCTCTTTCACTCAAAACTGCTATCTTTTGAGTCAAGATTTTGGCAGAGCTACAGTAGCAAAGTCTGAGATATCTGCGCTGAACCCATTGCATTCCAAAAAGAGCAAAAAGAGGAGAGTTGCTTTTTTCAAAGGCTCAAAATGACTTTAGAATCATTGCGCTCCAAAAGCGTCTGTTTTTCTGTGGATAGAGCGTTTTATTGAACTTCTAATGATGGTATGAGGTAAATACAGTCGAGTAGATTTAGCGGTAAATATAGTGTGCTTGAAGGTGAAATGCGGTAAAATTGGCGCGTGAAGAAATAGCTTCGACTGTGACGCCGGCCAATTGCGCGCGCAAGATGCCCGCAGTAGTGGCGTGGCTACTTGTTCACGCGCAAATTTCACCGCATTTCACCTTCTGTGCAAGCACACTATATTTACCGCTAAATCTACTCGACTGTAGCTTTTTCGGTAGATGTTTTGTTTGACGCTAGGAAAATCCATGTATATTCGTCGCATTATTCAAACAAGTCCCAACCTTCGCTTTCAAACAAGTCCCTACCTTAATCTAGGATTAGCATAAATTCATGCTTTAAAACTCAGCGTAGTTCTATGGTAAGCTATGCGCAAAGTCTGTACAAGTTCGTGAGATTTTGCGTTTGGCCAGAAAAATTCTGTAATTCTGAGCGTTTGTTATGGCCGCGTAGACATCACCTTGAAAAATGGGCATGTACTATTGTCACAATTTTCCTGGCCTGTTGGCTCAAAAGCTCTAAAATTGGTCCTGCAAAAAACACAATACTTCAGCATGGATTTACACTAACATATATAGTACATGCAATGCGCTTGTCTCATCGCAAGTTATTGCGAGATTGAGTTTTGAGGCTCGAAATTTGCTAAGTCCGGGGTAAGGTTGGTTGGTAAAACGCAACGTCAATACAGGAAACTTCCAGAACAACGTCGAACAAATTATATATCAAAAAAACTTAATTTATCTTACAATACTGGTAGAAGATCAAATCAGCGCGCCGACTCCAAAAGCATTTGAGTCATCTGAGAAAAGTAGAGCTTCTTTTGAACTGCATTAGGTTCAGTGTATAGCAGATATTTCAGACTTTGTTGGTGTAGCTTTACAAGTTTGATTCGGAAGATTGCAATTCTGGGTGAGAAAAGAAGCTTATTTGAGGTGCTCTTATAGATATAAACCGCCAAAATTTGCATTCGGCGCAAAAACATTCCTAAGATTGACGCCGATTTTTTTTTCTGTGCCGCATATACCTTTTCAGCTGTGGTCTCATGTAATATCAACGGTTCTTTGGGTCAGTTCTAAAAAGACCCGAAATCAAGAACTGCACTTTATATTCAGCTATACTAATTTACTAGGATTGACTTGTGTTTTTTTTTTGTTCGTAGACAGTACATTATCCTTTATGAGAATTCTTTTGCTGGCCTATATTGACATCTATTATAATTTATAGTTCAAGTGGTACACCCAAAGTGATAAAGATGATGAAGACCTAGATATCGGCTCACTCGTCTAGCCTTGTTGATCAGCTAGATAACTTCAGCGAAAAAGGAAAAAGATCAAAACGGAAAAGAGGATTGAAGGGCTGTGTTACCAACATGAACGGTTATTCATCTGTTTTTGACCAAAATCCACCCCCCCCCCCCTTTTTTTTTTAACTGTGCACCATGCATAAAGTGTTTTCGTCCCTCCTCTTCCCTCGCCCCCATCCTTCTTCCCTCCCCTCAGTTGTGCCCCTCTTCCTTGCTTTCTTACCAGGAAGTTTTTCGCTACTCATTTCTCTATCCGTCTTCCCTCGCTCTTGCAATTGCATTTCAAATCGTGCAATTACACCCGCCTTGGTTGGCGTGCAAAAATCGCACGAAAATAGAATCAACAATTCAAAAAGAGCAAAAATCAGCAACTAGATGTCCTTGGCTATTCTCATAGGTTTTTTCAACGAAAGGATGTTCATCGTCGTCAATTTGTTTGTCAAAATATTCGTCAAGATGCTGCAAAATCTATTCATAACATTAAATGTATCAAAATGCGTGCTATCACTAGACCACGCAATCTTTCGTGGCAGCAAAGTTGTTTTTGGAGCGATGTCAATCTACCTATTTTGAAATTGATTCACTCTTTGCTCAAAGATGATAATAATAGTGACTTGATGGCTTGAATTTTGCACAATTTTGATCTAGCTTCTTCGATGAGACTGTGTGCTATTTTAACTTGGTTTCGCTCAATCTCAATAGAAAGTACGGCCGTTGCCTTTAAGATGGAATGTACGCTATCTTATAGGGCACGAAACAATGATTACAAATTTGCCTTATTTATTCGCGAAGCATCTCTGTATGAAGAGTTATGAGGGTTCTTCGGGGGACGTTGTCGGGAACTCGCAGAGAAATAAAAACATGTGCCAGTTTTAAAGTATGACGTGTTGCTTGGTGTAGCGGTTAGTGTGATGGTGCCGCAAGCAGAATCTGCCAGGTTCAATTAACCTGCTGTGTTTCCGTTTCGCGGTTTTACAGTATACTCGTATGTGCTTGGATATCCTTCATTAATCCCCCCCTCTCTGATGAAAAGAATAAAAATATAAGGAATATCATGCTAGATATCTTTTGTATCCATATTAAACCGTCCATGTTCAATGATTTCTTTTCTTGCCTCTTCTCTGAAGGGCCTCCCCCCCCCCCCCTCCCACGTCTCTTTTCTTCCAACATCTTTCTTCTATGAGACATTCTGGGAGCACGTGCATGCATCTGAAAGCTACTTTCTGAACAGAAGCAGTTGATAATGAAACCTGAGCCCGTATCATATTCAATGAGTGCCAATTGGGTATTATGACAAAGATTTGAGAGTGATGCTAAAAAAGCAAAAAAAGTTGAAAAGAAATTAAATATTTTCCACATTTTCGCATTTTTGCAATACCCAAAAGAAACCTTTTTTTTCAAAACCTCGATTTCGTGCTCCACTTCCGGAACTAGGCCCCATTGCTCCTTTTGCTATTTTGTAGATAGATCTCTAGCAGATCTTGTCCTCAATTTGGAATGGACGAGTAGACAGCAACATGAAAATTACCTTGTGTTCCACGCGAACTGAGAATTTTCGTCCTTCGCGACATTTCGCCTCTTTGAGCTGTGCTCTCAATTTGACGAGCGTCTTGAAATTGATGAGTGTTAACAAGAAGAACGGTACGAATACGGTAATGATATTTCGTAGCCAAAATCGATACAGTGTTCCATACACCCAGATTTGATTCACTGCAGTCATGTCCACATAATTCTCGCTTGCGGTGTTCTGAAAACACGGAGTAAGGGACGGGCGGGGTAGGTTGACTCTTCAAACATTTCTAACATGAATTTACTGACAGAAGCTCCAAAAGAATCGGCATTTTCAGTGACAAATGGCGCGAGCAACTCGTACTCACCCGACACGACTCGTCCTCTGTAGGAAATACATCCAACTCGAACATAATACCTCCTTTGGTTATGAGAGCCAACATAAATGAAGCCACACAGGCTAAACTCCGCCGTTGTTGGAACATCTTCAGGTATGGCGATCTTATCGTGATAAGATAACGCTCTAGAAGAGCGCAGATCAGGATAAAGCTGAAAAGTAGATAAATTTTTGCGAATATTTTGCTTTTATCAGTTTTATAATACTAGATCGACGCAAAATCGAAGCAGGTGCAGGTGTTTCATCACTAGAGAGCCTCTTGCTAAGTTTTGTAAAATACACTGTAGCCTGCTTCTCTTCTTCAAGCATAGTCGCTGCGGTACTAACTCAATTCATTCCTGGCATTCTTGCTCAAGAGAAAACCAGGAACAGCATTCCAGCTAGGTGCATTTTGTCTTTATTTGTTACACTTTTAATATTTGCGTGTGGTACATAAATTAGCTTTTATGGTGGGTACTTTTGGTACGAAAATTTTACACGCTCCTTTGAAATGCGCAATTTTGAAAAGTTCAAGCAACCTTCATGACTGGCAGGAGGATGATACATTCTCTTTACATTCAACTAGAGTATAGTGGATAACGGGGCAGTCTCATCCAAGAAAATTAGTAACGGGAAGACATCTAACTCAGGTCGGCATTGAACCACACAAATATTCGGAATCGACTTGAAACGCTGAGTCCAAAGTTGTTGCCCCTAGTCGCGAAGCATAATTCAGGAAAGGTTTTAGGGTTATCATTACGCGCCTTAGACGCATTACTGAATATGGAAAGACAGCATGCAAGTAGAAATCCGTTTGAAAAAGGTTCTGGGATTTTAATTAAGATTGGGTCAAGTCTTTTGGTGCTGATAGAGAGCATTACTTAGGGTGAGGGGGAGAAGGGAGCCTCCTAAAAATGGTTGCGATAGTTTTAGAAATCGTCTAGGGTTATGCAAATAATCAAAATTTCATGAACTTACATTTTATACTTTCTCAAAAAATTGTGAGGAGCGTGTATATCAAATTGCAACAAAGAAACTTATTGAGGATTTGTCTCATATGTGACCATGCTTTTTTATTGGAAATGGTTTATTGCGACTGCACTTCCCAATTTCAGGAGAACTTTCTTGAAACACCTGTGACTTCTTTAGATATCGAGAATTTCATTCTCTCTCTTTTTCTACTTTAGCAAAGTGAACATGATCAACATAAACAAATCAGTTAGAAGATACTTTGCAATGAAAATCTAGTTTTATTTTGAAACCAATTCTTGCGCAACATATAGTATGTTTTTGATGAAAGAACAGATTCATGCCATACAAATTTAGATTTCTTGACATTATTACAAATCACGGAAAAATAAAGGAAAATGGTTAGTCAAGCCAATAAGCTGAAATACAAATTAAAATTACTTGTGACCCTACTTATCAAAAATTTTCACATTATCTGACAAAAATTTTTTACTTACCTTGCTGCAGTCATAGTGACATGTGTGAGAGTAAGTAGATAAACAAAATAACTCCAGAATAATCTTGCCAGCATAGCTGAGCTTAACCAATCCTAAAATTTCGAACTCTCAAAAACAGTAATTCTGCAGGGAAAAATGATCAATGAGAGGAAGGACTACTTCACATTTACCAATGAATCACGAGTTTTTTTTCAGCTTTTGAGTGTAATCAGCAAAAGATAATAATCAAAGTTTTACAGTCATGCTCAGGGCTCAGCACGAGGTGGCTTTTCCATTCTTTCGAAAACGAAGTCCCCCGTTGACTTCGCCCAAAACGACATCCCCTATGACCGTTTATGAATGAAACGAACAAAAATAGCAAAGAAGAATACGAGAACAAACAAAAGGGTACGAAACAAACGGTAAAAAATCAGCAATGATGTTCGTATTCTCCCAATTGGCGGCATACATTGTCCAGCGCGCACCATCGCGCGCCTGGAGCAGGATTGCCGCCGCCATACAAAATCTATTGAGGGCTGTAACTAAGCGGGGAGAAATGCATTTGGAAAGCTTCAAGAACTCTTTTGTAGTGTTTTGGATGTAGATTGAAATTATGTAAAAAGCTTGAAAAAATTATGTGAAGGGAGTGAAATTTATGACTTTTTCTTTTTACAGCCACCTCAGGTGGCTGTCCAGGTGGCTGTAAAGCCACCTAACCCCAAAAAAAGTTTGCCGCCACTTTAATTCACATAACTTTTTCATAATTTTTTGCACATAATACTATCCCCCCATTGCCCATCTACGCACCCATTTTGGTGTCATTTCATTTTCACTTCGCTGTAAACAAGCCCTTTGATTGTTTGGGAGACCATGCTGCCGGCATGCCGGCAGCGTGCCGGCGGCAGATCGAAAGACAGCGGTATGTTCTTCCGCAAAAACGATATCCCCTTTGCTTTTGACCTCGTAAACGATATCCAGCTTGCCCGGTAAGCCACCTGTGCCGAGCCCTGGTCATGCTGCATGATTTTTCATCGTCATGCCAAATCAAGGCGGAATCCTGCACGGAATGTAAGCTTTTTTATTGACTTTAGAATCAAGTGACAAAATTCTTCTGTTAACATTTGCAAAAAAAATGTTCCAGACTCACCTTCAAGCTATCCACGAGAATAACAGGCACATAACATAAGGAAATTATAGCGTCAAATAGACTTAGTACCAGCAGAAACTGAAAAGAACGTTTCTGGAGAACAGTGGAGTACTGTATGACCACCGTTTGTTTTTCATATCAAGATTCGTAGTGCAACAAATTTCTTGTGATAGCGCTTGATAGAGAATTTATCTCCGTCAGTTGAATTATGCGTACAAGTTTATTTACGGTATTGCTCAGGAAACGTAGTCCTATAATAATGACGGCCGGGCAGGGAGGGGGGGGGGGGAGAGAAAGAGAGAGCAGAGCTTTTTAGAAATAGGTGGCGAATTTTTTTTTTGTGGTCTACAAAAGCTATGAAAATGTGCAAATAACGTGTTTTTATTCGTAACCTGAAGATAAATCTCAGAAAATTTGAAAAATTCAAGTAGGCTCTGCAAAAAAATTAATTCACAACTAAAAAATTCAAAAAATTGGAAAGCGTGGCTCCCACCACACCCTCTTTTTTGGAAGGCGTTGTTAACGCACACCCCTTTATTCGAGGAAATGTTGCATCCTATATCCTGCGAATAAAATTCTTCGGATCGCCTCTACTACAGTTGGAAAGAAAACATTCTGCGCCTTAGAGAACTTTTGTTCTAAATCTCCCAAGCATGCTTTCATCAGAAGTGTCAATTAGCTTTGTTTACGCCCAGAGATCACTTGGCTAGCCACGGCTTAGCTCTATCGCGTTGTTCCATTACAGCATGTCAATTGCATTTTGTTCTGTCTAGCCTTCGAGATTTTGAGCGCCTTGGACTTCCAAAAGTTATGTACGATTTCGCCTGCAAATGCACCATAGGTTGATTTACTGCGAATCGGTTGGCTGCAATTCAGCGCGCACAAGTTTGTGACAAATTACCCCTCCTTGGATAAGTATAGCTATTTACCATATTTGGTCAGATGAATGTGCATCAGAACCTGAAAGGAGGGGGATGGATGAATTCGATCGTAAAGATCTCCGGATTTTTACATCTTTCACCAAAAAGGCAGAAAAAACAAATATTAAGTAACATTCCTTGGCTAATTAAGCATCTAAAACTGAAATTCGCAAATCTTAAGGTACTGAAAAACGGAATTGGCCTAGGCCGTAAAAAATTTCAGAGCCTTAAAACTTCGCTTCTAAAGTGTTCAAACAATCTGGGACTGGGACTAGCAAATATCAACTGAAGCTACTTACGACCTATTACAGCAATAAGAGATAGTATGGAATTTATGAGAAGAAACTGACTAACCTGGAAATAACACTGAAAACATTTTTTGCTTCGAATCAAACAATAAAAAAGCAGGCAGTTGTTGATAACAGAGGTAACAGAAATGATAGAACCTGAAAGCTTAGGATTTTCAGTTTATTTCTAAATTAAAGAGAGATTCCAATTTCTTCCTTCCGTGAAGAGAACATTACTTCATAAATGTTTGCTCAAGACTTGGCATACGCTTAATCATACTACCACCTATAACTTTCCAAGAATGTTCTGTCCTTACTTTCACAATTTCGTGAAAGGGTGGAAGGACATCCCGGGTAATTTTTTTAAAGGGTGCACTTATTTGTTTTCGAGTATACGTGGCGCTAACCACTTCCAGTTTTTTCGAAATATCTCCGAAAAATTTTGCTAAATCTTGCTAACTGATTGAAGCTGATGTAAGCTTCATGTATAAAGCCACTGCTAATAATAAATAAAGCGAGTACTAGAAAAATCTGCCGCTATTTCTCCTGCTCTCAATCTTCTCGTTTACTACTTCTAATGTTTTCGTGCGAAATTGCAGTTATTGCAAAATTTAGCAAACAACTAAAAAGTAAGAGTTACGCAGAAGCATGAGGACTCAAAAGAAATCCCCATAGGATAATAGCTGATTATGAAAAAAAAGTTATAGAATCTAACTACCGTATCCTTCGCAAATTGAATACTGTTTTTCAGGAGGTTAATTTGAAACGCAGTAAAAGCAAACGTTGAACCATTTGTAAGTGTGAAAAGACGGAAGAGAGGGATAGTAGCGCTAAATCTAGATGTTTTATTGAGTTTACCCGTTTGCAAAAGCAAAGAGGTTAGGAAATCACACTGACTCCCAAAGTAGGTAGCAAAACGGAAATTTTGCATCGACCTAATGGCTAGCAAGATATTCGCAAAGGGAAAAAAACATTACAAATCTCAGGAGAGTAAACAAACCCTCCCAAATGAAGCAAGCATGATTTCATAGCATGAAGTGTAATGTGTGACACTCTTACAGAAAGTTTAGACAATTGCGGATTTCCAGAGCTGAAAATTCTACACGAGGGGTGGATGTTATAAGTGTTATAAATTTATGGGTGTTATGGGTGTTATAAATTCGCAGTTGATGAAAATGTAGGCTGTATGGGAGGCGATGACATAAAATTGAAAAACGATTTGAAGATACGGAGATTAAGCTGACATCGAGAGCAAAGAAACTGAAGGAATGAACGGTTTTTTGAGTTAAGCTGCAATTATCAAAGTTTTTAATCATGCTTTTGATTTTTTGTTTTTTGCAAAACCAATGTTCATGGGTAAAAGTCTATTTTTGCGAACCCAGGTTTTTTGTAGGCACAGGATTGTTTTATGAATTTAGGGATTTTTGCGCGAAGATAAACAAACCTAATATGACGGCCAAAAGTGAGCCCACAGATCTTAGCTCAGCTGGAGCACACATTGCTGTGTGCGCGCGAGCCCAAACGGTTGAAGAACGTTGTAGGGGGAGGAGCCGTTGGCAGAAGAGGTGGAGCCGATATACTTGATGTACGTTAGGTCACCTTAATATTGTACTCTTTAGAAATAAGTAAAGACAAGACAAATAAATCACGAAAAGAACAAGAATCGAAAAATCAATAAATGAATAGGTGATTCGGTGCAATGGTGGAATGGGAACAACAAAAAAGACGAGAAATTGAGCTGCATGGGTCGAATAGGGAGATGAAACCAGAAATCAAGATATCGAGTATTGGAGCGTCTCTCATGTAGCGTTCAGGCGGATCTGAAGCTGCTGTGCGGACCGCCCCCTTTGGTGCACAGTCCGCCCCTTTTGGTGCGCAGCCCGCCTCCTTGAACAGCACTTGATGCGTTATCACATGGCAGAGTCGAACGGATATTCCTTAACGCGTTCTTGCTTGTATTCACAAGGTTAACGCCATGGCACTGCCCCGTTCGTAAGAGACATTCCCAAGAAAAGATTCTTAACGGATTCCCCTTTTTGTGTGCCTATCATAACCAGCGCTATGGAAAGGTTTGGATAGGACAAAAAATGGAACTCGACTACTTTCTCGGACTCATAACCAAGTTGCGTCATCAAGTGGCTTATACAGCACCAAGCAACGCTGTAACTCCATCTAGAAAGTCGATCTTGTTGATGAATTGCACTTTGCAAAAAGCTGGAATGACGATAGCGCAAAAAGCATGCAAGATTGGTTTTTATACCCTCAAGATTTACAAATATGGATGTTTGGGTTCATAAAAAGCTTTCAAGTTGGAGTCAGTAGAAATTTTTTCTTTTTTTTGGATATCCATGACTTGCGATAGACGGATTATGAGGGTTACAACTTTTTCCTGGAAGAAATCTGTGAAATTGGGAAGAAATCGCTTAGAGATAGCGTCGAAATCCTCTTACTTGATTACTCGTAAAGGTCCGAGAAGTTTCTTTGAAGTGCTGGAAGGGGGGGAAAGGGACATGAATGGATTGTTCTCCGAGTGAACGCATTTGGGATGCTTTCGAAAGCTTCGTTCAGCTTTCAGCTTTGAATTTTGGCAAACTTATTGACACAAGGCGTTAGAGAAGAAAGCATGGCACATTCCCTTATAAAAAATTTGACTGACTAACCAGTCTGAGTTCTTATAAAATCTCAAAAATATTTCAGTTACTTACAACTTAAAATAAATCACTTGCGACTAAAATTAAATCACTTATAGCTCATGTAGGCTACTTTGAAAAATTTGACCCCATTCTCTGTCCCCTCCCTTCTCGGCCCGTCACTAGGTTGGAGGTGTTAGCTAACCCATTACTCAAGCAGCACATACGAATCATTTGTGACCGAAATAATTGAATCACATCTTGCTCAGACCATATAACCATGCTCTTTTCGAGTTGACTAATCAAAGGCTTCTAGTAGGGTGGAATGTACGGTATATGCGAAAAGTTCAAAATGGTAATTCTAGACTACGAAAAAAAAATCATACAATCTGCTGCTTGGATAATATTAGGTTGGCTAAAAAATAAGTTCGGTCGTTTTTAGCGGTTTGTAGAATTGTCACAGATCAGTTTTCGTGTATATATATGGTACCATTGTAAAGAGCAAATCAAGGAGAATCGAAAGGTAAACTCTGTTTTCTCAAAGATGGTTTTTCTGATAATGAAGTGATCAGGGAAAGAAAATTGGTCCGATTTTTCCCCAAAATTTCGAAAAATCACGTTCCAAAAAACGAATTGAAGTCAGGTATAAAGGGTAGATTTGCTACCGACACAGCAAATTTTTAAATTTCCAACCATTTGCATGGCCATAGATGGCCGAATTCGAGTTATCTGGAATGCCCAAAATTTGACCTTCGCGCGCAAATGCCTGAAAATTTTCACAATTTTGGCTGCAGAAATTCAGAAACAGCAGGTCACAATCTCTATTGTGGTTCGCCACCTAGCCAGAGGCTGTATGTACCCAGCCACCAAATCACTCGCCTGTGTACTCACTGCAGGCTGAAAACGAAACTTAGAAAGTCAAAAAAGCGATTTTTTAGAAGTCTGACCATATTAGGTTATGACTGCCTTTTTTGCTAACATAAAAACTTGACTATTCAATAATTAAGAGTAGAGGCTTGAGGCTATCTTCTCACGAAAAAATCTTGGCTGAATAATCTGTTACGTGAATTGTTATGAAGCTTTGGATTTGCATGTCAAAACGAACTTATTTATTAGCCAACCTAATAGCATGGTTGGGCTGTCCAGCCAGTTCCCAAAATAACCCTATCACTCACATTCACCTGGACACTGCCTCAAACTTATCTATAAAGTAAAGTTAGCTTGTTTCGTACAGAAAGTATCGCACTAAATATTGAACTAGATGTTTGAAAAAGACACCTGTGTTGTGTTTCAGCTATGATATATTTTGAGCGGAAGGCTTTTCTTTCGCACTCGGGAGCATGTTAGCTTCGATGTCGCTCAAATGACCCAGCCATGGGAACTGCTGTAAAGCTATGAAAGACGCTAGTAAAAAACGAACACTGGTACAAAGCATAGATCATCCAAAAGTGTTAGTTTCATAAGTCCTCATTCAAGTTTGAGAAAATGATAAATTTTGTAGTTAGTGGGCCGAAGGAAAATCAGTAGAACACATATCCCCGTCCCCTCCTCCCTCTGAGCCTTGGAAATTCATTACTCTGTAGAAAAAAGACAAATATCAGTGAACTGGATTTTGGAAAATCCCTCTTGAATGATTGTTCAAAAATACGAAATGTATGATGATGCACCTTCGCTAAAACCAAAATTATTGATTATTCACAAGCTAAATCATCCATTTCCTTTACTTTTCTGTTAACATATTTTCCAGAATTACTAACCTCAGAAGATACACTAAAGGCTTAGGACATCTCTTGATGAAGAAGACATTCCCAGCTTTTAAGCTTTTCAGGGGTGCAAAGTAGTGTTTTTCAGCTCAGTTAGGCATAAAGGTTAGCAGTCCTTCCTTTCTTTCACACAGAGGCGCTTTATAAAACGTTACGTTCTGGTTGTTGGACAACTGCAAAGAGTCAAACGTAGTTGACTGTTCTTTTGTCGCGAGAATTTCGGGGAAGTTTGGCAAAAATTCAAGATTACTTCAACTTTTGAAAAAAAAAGCAGGCGGGTTTGTCAATGTTTTGACTGTGAAATTGGTAATTTCAAATTTCTTTTCATGAAATTTACATGCATTTGAACATGAAATCTACTTCAAAAAGCTAGGATGCGCTTCAGGATAAGTAACATTGACCTAATTTCTGAAAATATCGGTGGACGTTCTAGGATTTTTGGGGTAAAGCGATTCAAAAAGTTCTTTGATGGATGCTTTCCAGTTTGAACGGGTCATAGTAAAAAAAATTTCATGGAGCTGATTTAGACCTTTCAAGGAGAATTTGCGAATTGATTTTACTTATTATAGGCAAAAATAGGTCGCCACAAATTTTTAATTCCGTAGTTTACCATCAGAAACTTTCCCTCGTCCCCCCTTTTTTTGTTTGAATACGAGTTCGCAGTTGTTTCTTTTGTGTAGTTTGTTAAGTGCATTTGACTTTCATAGTCGACGTCAGAGTACATTCGTCGCGCAGAACCTAATCAACTTCAGGCACGCACGTTAATTACGGTATCTGGATGCCAGATGATTTATAGTGTTTTTTCGGGTCACGGAAATGTACCCTTAAACAACTGCCAAATGAATAACAGGACCACCCTCCCCCCCCCTCCCAACTCGCCCCGAGTTTGGAAAGTACCTTTCGTTATAAAATGGCGCAAGTGACTCCCTTCTGTCGGAAGGGTGCCAAATCAAATAAAGCTGTGGTAGAGAGCAAGGAGCGCAGTATAACTAGAGGCTATGCATGACGAAGGCGCAGAAGCGGTAATAGTTGGGCAGGCGCGAACGCAACGCGCGCGTATCTTCACCGGTGGAAATCCTGCGCATCATGCGCTCTGCGGCTAATACGCGTTCACGCTCAAAGATTTTGCGCCTTCGTCATGCAGCAGCCTATGAGTCCAACAAGACTGTAGCCTGCAAACCTTTCTTTTTCAAAACTGGACAGTCATCAACAACATGGAAAAACCCGCCTTTTAAAGGAAGTCATTCAAGAAGCTGATTCTGAGCAAAGTACTATGAGTAGTTCCTTTTGCGCGAGCAAAAAATATGTGCGTGCATAAAATCCTTATCCTCTATATCCTCTTTCTTTTTTCGTATGTATTTTCATGTCACATAATGCATCGGATGCAGTATCTGGCTGTTCTAGAAATTTCATACTTAAACACGTTTTGGGAACAAATATCCTTCGTTAAAAATTGATCTCAAACAAAAATGAGTGGATGAGTGAGTGAAGGGGAGGAAAATGAATAAATAAGTTTTTAGCAGTCTTGAAAGAATGAGTGAATGAATAAATGTTTCATCGAATGAATGAATGAATCTATATGCTAAAAATGAATAAATAACTATTATATTATTATAATAAATTGATCAATCAGTGGATGAATAGAAGTATGCTGGGATTTGATTGAAGAAAACTAGAAAGAGTGAAATTCTATGCGTTTCGTTGGACTACCCAATTTTAGTGTTTGCTCAGAATGTACTATCGGTCTAGAACGCTCGCACCGATATTCGTTTTTTTAAGTTTCAGTTGATTTGCATAAATAGAGACTTTTTTCGAAAGGGGGAGGGGGGTGGAATAAATCATGCACTTTCGATCGGTGCTTGCAATCAAATCGGTGTTCTCTTGACTCAAATTTCGGAAAAATTGTGGGCTAAATGAATGCCTCCAGAATATTTAGGTCGTTTCGAAAGAAATGTCCCTTTTTTCAAATAAATGCCACATTTCGTCGAACAGAGATTTCCAAGAAACCCTGTTAGCATTCGATGCAGCATTTCATTTTCTTTTTGATAATCATAGATTCATTACAGCACAATCAATGAGCTTTCGGAAAGTAAAATTTTAACAATTTTGATAGAATTTAGAATTTTAAGTTAGAATTTTTTAGAATTTTAACTTTCAATAGAATTTTAATAGGTGCTACCAATTTCCATACTTGGTCAGCTCAAACCT